TTCTATCAAAATTTTGAATACATCCCATTTCCGGTAGACAGCATGTGTGTTATGCAGACATTCAGAAAGAAGCCCAGTCGTGCAACGGAAGAATTGATATTGAATAATTGCTTCCCGTAAGCGTAATACCCAGTATCCAGTGAACAGAACAATAGTCAGGCATGTTAGGACTAATTGAAATCTGGAAGGCCGCGTTCGAGGCTGACGCCTGTAAAGCTCTGTAAAAGAATGAGTGTATTTGACTCTGCTTCGGAATGCCAACATAGCAACAGAGTATGCAACCGTAGTCGCAACTGGTATCAGTGTACCTATGGCGTGTTCAGCACATGGAGTTGAACAGTTGCTGTACCATTAAATACCGTAGCATAAAGAAAAAACTGTCATGGAAGCAATTGAGTCGTGAAATATGTCCTGAGCTATTGCCTGCACATTCTGTCGCTCTTCGGGGGTCATCATGCTATGAAAGAGGTAGAAGGGTCAGAATGCGTTTGGATACTCATCCACTACGGGATATACGCTTGACACCAATAGAAATCAACTCAGAAATGATCAATCAATATATATGTCTTGTGTGCCCACATTTCATTTGAGATAGACGGACGACCGGGGCCTGGAGATTCGAGTGAATCATATTGAGGTATATGAAACGACTTTCAAAAAGGTGATCGGATCGTGATTTCTCGGTTGTGATGTCTGTGATGACAGTTAGCAGTGAGCCATAGGAAAACTAGGGTTGTATGACTGAAGGCCGTGCAACGATTCATTCACGATACTTAGCAATGTCCAACTCTAATCTCGCCATGTCGATTGGAAGCGCCCGGTCAATAAGTCTTCTCCACCACAGTCCTGCTTCTGCAAGGACCGTTGATGTCGACACATATGAAATAAATTGTTCTCCATATCCCCATATAACTTACAGCAATTACAAAACAGTATGTGACTATCCTCTTATAGCTACAGCTCTAGAAAATCACGCTTCTTTGGATGCCTTGATTGTGTGACATTGAAAGACCGCTGTCAGATTCTATGTAGGTGTAAAATATGTAGGAGTCGACGCATGTGCATTTAATAATATCTATGACTCAGCCTGAGATCATGAATTTCTCCAAAATTTCCCAGCGTGTTGCATAGCCTATAGGAACATAACTCCTTTCAATGTGAATACATGAAATTTGATTGTCTTTTATGAGGACGTACTGTTCTGGGAAATTTCTTCCTCTTGGTGGAATTTGAGGTCTAAGTTGTGGCAATGGTCAATGAATAGGGCTTTGAGAGTTTACATTACACTCTCAAGTTCCAAGACATACCTCTCTAAACGAGTTCAGCTACCTGCATAGGGTGAAAACAGATTCTGTTTGCCCCGATGGAGGAGGAACGTGGCTGAATACTAAGATAGCAAAGGCAGAGAAAGACGACGATCTTATGATGACACACGTCCTTCACGGCACTAACATATTGACTGTAACTAGAAAATGAATCAAGAGTCCAACCATAAACGAAAAAGGCCACCCGGAGTTCTAAACATGATGTTGTGGATTGGAAGGGATACAGATCTTGACTTGTGGTCAAAGGGAGATGGAACCTATCATTTGTTGAACGTCATCCGCAAGATCTTTGCCGGAGAGGTGGAGTCCGTTAGTTGTATTCGTATGAATACCATGCACCAATGACACTGATCAGTGATGTTCTATGCCAAATTTAGAAGAGATCTCCATGGTCAATGGTATGAAGGACAGACGTGCTAAAAGAATTATCAGATCTATGCAAGTCGTATACTTCTTTTCAGGCTGTATACGTGGATCATCGTACAACACACTAATTGACCGATTGACCGATAGATAGATACGCCAAACCGAGTCCAATGTTCGCTCACTGAGACGCCACTCCTCCTGTCGCTGTACCACATACAACACGCTGATTGACCGAATAGATAGATACGCCAAACCGAGTCCAATGTTCGCTCACTGAGACGCCACTCCTCCTGTCGCTGTACCACAATCTCAGTTAGAACAGCCAATACCGACGCGCAATAAGATTCGTACTATCTACACATGCCCAACAACAGCCTGCGCCACATACGGCTCCTCCAAATATTTCATTTCCTCCTCTGACAATTTCATATGCGCCATCACTGATACATTCACAACCGCATCAGTGCCCATTGTATACCAAAATAATCAAGATGCACTTACTGATCAGGTCTTCCAGATTCTTTAAACTGGTCGTACCCACAATCGGTGCAGTGACGCCTTCCTTCGAGAGGGACCACAGAACCGCGATCTGGGCCATCGAGAGACCTTTTTTCGTTGCGAGCTCTTCAACACTGCAGAATCAAGTTAGCTGAGATATTATCAGTAGGAAAAGAAAGGATGCGACAGCGTACCGCTTGATAATTTCAGGTGTACCAGCTGCGTTGAGATATCTCTTAACGAACCTATAAGTTCAGCGTAGTAAGTCAGCGTGAGGAAACGACAAAAGAAAGCAAAAGAGGTAAGGAGACGCACCAATCCGTCTCTCCACGCTTCGTCTGTTCTTTCAACGGACGCGTGAGGAGCCCACGGGCGAGGGGGGACCAGGGGATTGCGCCGACGCCGAACAGCTATGGATATGGATTATGAGCACCAGTCGACCACTTGGAAGGAGCGGAGGGAAAGGAATGGAGACGGACCTTGAGTGTAGGGAACATTTCCCTTTCTTCCTCGCGATACAAAAGGCTATGTTGATTCTGCATCGAGATGAAGGGCGTGAGATTATGGGTGATCGCGTAGTCTTATAAACGAGTTGTACAGTCCGTTCGTTTGGATCATGTAAATAATATACGTACTTTGCATTTGATGGACTACCCAATGCGTGAGCTATGAAGAAGGAACGAAAAAAACCTACACTGATAAGCGTGGCATGAGCTCATGCCGATGTAGCGCACGTGTCCCGCTTTGACAACGTCATGGAGAGCTTGCATCTGTTAGTGAAATCTGATCAGTACTGGATGTCACAAAGAACGTAGGACACAAGGCGTACAGTCTCCTCAATGGGTGTTTCATAGTCGAATCGATGGCCTATAGTAGTAAAAGAAGTCAGCATACACCCATGAACATCACCAGGGGTGAAAAAAGCATACATTGTAACATGTCAATGTAATCCACCCCAAGGCGCCTGAGACTTGCTTGAACGGAATCGAAGATGTGCTGAATGATGCTCAAGATCACAATGATGTGGGAAACATGTTGGAAAGACAGAACGAACCTTCCGACTTAAGCCGTGCTGATTAACATACCCCATTTCGTCTGGATTTGCGCCAGAAATGATTAAGTTTGTTCCATAATCGTGTGCAACCGTGCCATACACCTATGATACGATTGGATGTATGTGAACATCACTTTCGAGTGAAGGAAAGGGAAACAAACTGACCTTAGTGAGAATGACTATCTCTTCGCGCGGGAGCTGAAGTTGTTTGATGGCTTTTCCGAGGATGACTTCCGAGAGACCATTTGAATAGACGTCCGCAGTGTCGAATGTCTGGATGCCTGCTTCGTATCTACAAGTATTGCAAACTTCTTTAGATCTTTTCAGTTTGCCAGAGGACAGAGTACTCACGCCAGTTTGATATGCTTGATTCCTTCCTCCTCGCCCAGAACCCATTGCTGCCACTGCGGGTCACCGTACTGCATCGTCCCGAGGATGATTCTGGACACTTTCAAGCCAGAGTTGCCTAGACGGACTATATGCCATATCTGCACCTTAAATCCACAAGAATTGAGAGTAGAACGCACCGTAAGGAATCCTCGGTTTGGGGTTCTGTTGTGCCATCGCTGCCATAGTATGCTTTAGTGAGAAGATGAAGACAAAGACGGGGACTTGATGAGAACCATGATCCTCTTAAGTACAAAGTTCCGTAAGTCAGCTTCCGTTCAGATGATAGAAATGACGTGATTTATTATCAGGAAGCTTCGGCTACCCGTGGCTGCGGATGACCAAGCACTTCAGAGTTGCCGATGGTGTGCCGACGCAGCCGAGGTGAAAGATCAACGTTCAACCCTCATGGACGACGGCATACGGTGCGAACTACTCGTGTAAATACTAACGTCGCCGCCTTTGCGGCAGCTGGGGGCGATTTCATGTTCTGATTCTTATGCCCCCAGTTGCAGGCCTCATCCATCCCTATATATTTCGTTCGACGGGTCACTATTTATCAGAAAACCGGTCAGAACCCAATTGATTTTAGTGGGAGTTTTACTACTTGTGAGGGGTTGATGATTATGTCCTTCATATTCATCTTACTGTATCTGATCATTTGATCTTCCTTACATTGCCCGAAAGTGTTCCGCATCCCAGACTCCTGGAGAATATATCCGTAGAATGATACAGAAGGCTCTCGTCTGCGTAGTCATCGCTCGTTGACAAGAAACGAGGAGGAGAGGTACGTACAGTCTCCCTAATGGACGTTCAGAAGACAAATCAATGGTCTGCGCCACTATGATAAGTAAATGTGCTCCGGGGAACGAAAAGTCCATTATGAGACGCACTTGGTCAGAAGGAACAGCGACAACTCATACTGGTTGCACTCGTCTCGGTGATCCATCCTCTTAGAATCATGCTAGTGAATCACACATCTGGTGGTGTAAATAAATTGCTGTGTCAAAACCGATGGGACACACAAAACGATATCCCCAAAGTAACAAACCTTGCAATAGACTCGGAGAGGAAAGAAAGAGAAGAAGGAAAGCTCACCGATGAACACCTTTAGATCCTCTAAGGCCATCTTGTCCAAAACGGGTGCAGTAACGCCCTCCTTGAGAGAGAGACCACAACATAATAATCTGTGCTTATCGACAATAGTTTAGAAGGTCTCTAATGCTTTCGAACGGTTGAAAAATTGGAAACCTTCCAAGTAGGAATGGGTTTTCAATTTGAAATAGCCAAGACGAAGGAATGAATGTATTACGTGTGTTTAAGAGGTGAAAATTGCAGGTCAATTAAATAAAAACGCGACAGCCGACTAATTCCGGTACGGGGAATCGAACCCCGAGCTGCCGCGCAATATAAGCGTCTGTGACACTGAAAGGCGGCAATGTTAGCCGTTACACCATACCGGACTTAAGACTTATGAGTTTGACTGACATTATCAGCGTGGCTTGCAGGCGTGCTCCAACGGGACGTGCCAGGCTAGAAAGTATTTTATTTACAGGACATCCCATGGAAAATCGAGCCCTAAACTGACGGTTAGTAGGGAAGGAAGGCATGAATTCTATTCTTGCCATCGACGATTCCACCCCTCGATGTATGCGTACGCTGTGGAAGGGTGTCGGGCTTACGGATGGAACAGACCAGAACAACTAGTTTGATACTCCCAGAAGTACACGTACCGTAAAGTAGTCCGTCGAATGAGATCGTGAACGTCGCCGCTGGAGTGCGAGAACGAAAGAAAAGTCTCGGAAGAGCGTGTATGCGCCAAAGCAAGAAGTGAGAACCAGATGGAACAAACGTTAACGTAAGGGATGATGGAATCACGGGAGTGAATGCTGATCGATCCGGGCGCTTGATTCCTAAAACGCGTGAGGATACGGTCAACAACGAAATTGACCTTGTATAATGCATCCGTCGCTATGACAGACAGCGAGCTCGACCTTACCGACGACGATGAAAGCGATTACCAAGGCCCGAGACAACCAGACAGACGAGACAACTGAGGCAACGAGACAACGAGACCAGAGGTGACAGCAATTCCGTTCGGAACGCGTCGAGAGAAACTCAGAGGTAAGCTCGAAACTTGTACGCCTCGAGATTTTAGAACGAACTGTTGGTCTGTTTCATAATAGTCACGTTCCTAAACCTTATTTGTACGATTCCGTCATCGACCCAATCATATCCCTCGATCCTCCGCCATCGCCATCCCATTGGTTCGCCTTGCATCCCCACCACTAACCACTATCCATACTCCATCGCGCCTCCACCACAAAACGCCCATCCCAACCGATACCGACAAAGTTCTCCCTCATCGTCCATTTACCTCCAGAAACTCCCCTTTGCACAATTCTATTTGCATCTCCATTTTCCTTCGACGCCCCTACTACCCGCTAAACTTCCCCAGATCCTGCGCTCGTGAGTAACCTGGTTTTCTTCTCCGAATTCCTACTAATATTAGACCTGCCCTATTTCCCAGATTTTCTTTTATTTCTGTCAATACTCCCGGCTTCTCTACCACAACGCAATCAGCGTCTGCTACATCATCGTCTTTCCTTATCTCGTACGTTGTTATTTACAGATTTTCTTTGTCTTCACTTTCCTCCTCCACCCCATCCGGGAATGTACCGGAACCTCCAGAAATCCAAACACGATGCCTTGGAAGCCAAAGGTCCCCACGCTTCGACTGGCGCTTCCACGGTCCGAACACAGCTACGAGGGCGAAGGTGCCGTTTTCTGTGCTCGATACTGGTGGGTACGGCATATTAGTGGTGGAGAGGAAGTATGCATAATTGAGCTGCGAAGGATGTGTTCACGCATTGACACTCACGTCTTGAACCCTTCTAAAAGCAAGAAGATGGCCATAAAAAGATGCCGTCATCGCCTCAGCATCGCATATTAGATCTCACGCAGAGGCTACTATATCAATCCTGACGACGATGTCTCAAAGTCACCTGTATTCTACAACGCGGAATCCTACTGCGGTGACGACTACTATAGAGATGGGACATTCTTCTACCCACGAAGTCCAGCAGGATATGGATATGGCGCTTGCCGTCATTCATGGTCTATAACGAGCTGAAGAGCGTAAGGACGAATTTGGAGTTTGAGAGTGAGTGGTCTTGTAGATCTATTTCCTTTCTACATCTTTATCTTTCTAACCGTCAGCTTTAGCTTGAATCACTAGCCACGAAAGTACTATCTTCTATCTTCCTCTCTTTCCCAAACTTCAACAGCACTGTTTTCGTCATCCGCTCTGGTCTAGTCTTCAAGCCGCACGCCACAGAGTCTGATTTCAAGTTCGAGGTCATTCCTCACTAGAGTCCTCACGCCACATCCCGCGAGAGCAAAACTCGGAGACGTTACTCCCCTGCTTATATATCAATTACTTTCGTAAATTTACTAATTACAAATATCATATCATTTACATTCATCACCT